GACGCGCTCGTCCCCCAGCCCCCACCCCCTCTGCTTTCGGAAAATGAATTTCGGGAAATGAACAAAGTTTGCGGCCGGCGCTACGCTGGCCTTCGGAGCTCACCATTGTTTGGGCTCGTTTTGACCCCAGGTCCGGATTAGGCAGCGGCTGATTCCTGCTTTACAGCCCTGCGGGCCTAATGAGGCCGAGGCGATGGGGCGCGAAGCGTCCTCGGAGCCCAAGGGACCTGGACCGCCGGCTTACGGCCGCGGAGGGCCCTGTAGGTGGAGGTCAAAGGGTCAGCGGGCAGAGACCGCGGGGGAACTGACCCTAGGAAATGAGGTCCTCTGCTCCCTGCCAGATCAACAGCCCGGACTTGCACAAACTTGGTGTGTGGACAGGGGGCCTGGGCGTGAGGACAGTCGGATGGGAACCCCGACTTCCAAACGCTGGGGCCTCGAGGGCCAGAGGCCTGAGAGAAAATCAGCCAAGATGCTAAGATCTGATAACCGCTTTTCGGGGGGATGGGCTCCCTGGTCCTTTCAGAAACTGGGCATTTTCTGGTTCTTCTTAGGAGAAAAAACGGTGAGTCAGGGATGAAAGAGAAATCAGGCCGCGGCTGGGGGGGGGGGCGTCCAGTGCACAACTTTTCCCTGGGAGGCTTTGTGAGCCAAAATTGCAGCTCACCGGTCTCGGACCCTCCTAGAGCGCTACCTTCCTAGAAGTAGGACCAACAGCCCCCTTTGGCCTGGATGCTGATCTTTAACCTTCCAAATGGATAGAGGCCAGAGTTCTGTCTTGTATGGAAATAGCTCTGGAAATAGGCACCTTCCCCTTTGCCTATCCAACAGTGGGAATCCTATGCTAAATCACTCCTTTTGAAAAAGATGGGCTTTAACAAAAATCTTACCAGGTGCAGGAGAGAAAATAAGGAGTAGATTATTAACTCTTAAAATTATTTACTGCACATTCAAGAATGTAAATGTGTATTGCCAAAGCCAGATTATGGGAGGAAGAAAATTTCTCTTATTTTTAACCCAAATCAATAGTTTTCTCTTCTAAAAATAACAAGGGCATAGAACATAATTTTAAGAAATTTGCTGTACCCAAATTAGAGGTAATCATGTAAAGGTCTAAGCTTTCATATTCTATTAATATTGATTACCATCATTACTTGTCATCGGCCTCTCTTGAGACACAATGCTTCCTGTAAAATTTTATGGTGATTTCAAGCATCTAAGAAAAGGTGAAACTTTGTCTCCGAAGGAGGTATTTAGTGTGTTTAGTTGGGGGTGGGCAAGTTTCCGAGTGAATTTTGCACCCAGCCCATCTCCATTTAAGGTGAGGTTGGGGGAGAGGGAAGGAACTCCTAGGGAAAGTAGGAAACTGTGGAAGTTCACTGCATCTGTTAGCAGAAGAGCACATTTTCTAGATTTCACAATGGCAAACGTACATTTAGGACCAGACTTATGAATGTACACTTTCTGAAAACTTGCTGAACATTTCAACGGTCCCTGATTTGAAGTGAAGAAAAAAATCCTCACAGTAATCTGGTCCAGCACCCTCAATGTCAAGGTCAAGATTGGAGTGTCTGAATGGGAAGTGGTAGACTGACCAGTTACCTGCTGCTCATCACTTGTGTGGTCATCCCAGTCTCTGTTCCTGGCATTCAGGCTTGGATATTGGGGGAATAAAGAGCAAAAGACCCCATTGGTCCACTAATAAAGAATTACCTCCACAGTAATTTTGCAATTAGAAACTGTCAATAATTGTCTGTTGACAACAATCAATAGATAACAAATAGATTGCTTAAACTGTATCCAGGGAATCAAAGTTTGTTTTAATGATCAGAAATTCTCTAAGCATTTCAATTTTAGGTTGATTTATTTGAGCATGAAAAAAATATTGGGCACCAAATACAAAAATGTTATAACATAAATAAGATGTGCCAATACTTTATTTTGTAGAAGAGAACAATCAACAAAACTCTAGAACTGAAAGTGATTATATATAAAACCAAATTGACTGCCACCAAAAAAACCCCAGCACTGCCCCTTAAAGAGAAAGAAGTACTTAAGCCTATTTATTACATTTCTAAATACTTTACAATTCCTTATCTCCACCTTTCTGTTAATACATGCAGAGATTGGGCTCTCAGTAACAAACAGCACCCTATTAAAAAAGGTCTCAATACTCTACCCACTCCAACCCCTCAAAATAATAATCAGTTTTTTCCATAGAACCATTGCAAAAAGAACTGTTTGTCCAAATGAGTTGCTTCACTGAAGATTAAATGGATTGTTAACATTTTATCAAAAAGCAAACAACCATTTTTCATTGTTATTGATTTTAATGGAAACAACGTTCTTAACATCTTTGCCTACAAATAATGAACTTTAAAAATAACATTTTCAAATGTTTTTCCATGTTATCATTTCAGAACTGCCATAGTTATTACACCACTATGTAAATGTTATGAATAATTGTGATAATTATGGATTGAACTATATACAGCAAACAAATCAGCCTTCGCCTTCCAAAATGTAAATGGACTATGGTTCTTTTCAGAAACACTTTAACCATAAATAAGCACTGCTCGACTGGCCTTGCTCATCACCACTGTTGCAGACATAAGCTATGTTTTGAAAATAGAGAGCTAGATAGATTTGATAGGCAGATTAGGTAAGTCATAGATACAAACATACAGGTATATGGGTGATCTCTAGATAGAACAGACATGCATCCTGCCACAATTTTCATTTTTATGTAAGATAAAGAACTAAGGGACATAAAACTAGGTTACCTTATGTTTACATATGTAGGGCAGGGATGATTAAATCCAGCTTCTCAGTCTTTTGAAGTACAAGATTGAGATGTCATGGCCACTAAATGAATTGATCAGTAATATTTGATTTGCATGCCGAAAATCCAGGACAAACACATTTAAACTCGCAGTTAAACAACCACCTGAGCTAGAGATAAAGAAAGGAGGGTCTTCCCAGATGGAAACTGACACTGTAAGGAATCTCTACTGCAATAGAAAAATAATTTAACAATTGAAAAAGGGATCTGAGTGAGTTATAAATACCAATAAACAAGATTCAAATTTGCTCAGGTCTCCTCTTTGTAGGAGGCTGTTACAAAACAAGAGAAGAGACAGCGGTTCAAAAATTGTAAATTGTGTTCTTCTTTCAAAACAATAAATTTCAATGCTAAAGCAGTTATACTCAAAAGCTGTACAGATCTGTTAGAAAACATTTATCCATAAATATTGTTCAGTTCCCGGCACTTGCAGCAATAATTAAATTACAAACGATAAATATGGCATCAACGGATATGTATTTACAAAAAAAAAGTTATTACAAAAGGCAACTGCATACTAAAGGTCACAATCTGTGTAGAGTAACATCATATCCTCAGCCTGAAAAAATACTGAACAACAGTTCGACCCCATTAGACAAAGATACATTCACAAGTGTAATGCTTTGAAGAAAAGTTCAAGACATAACAGGACTTTGGCATGGTTTAAGACTGTGAGAGTTTAAACAATCACCACTAAGGCGAAGAAGAATTTCCATCAGTTTAACATCCCCACCACCAAGCCTTCTATAACTTCCTCAAGAAACAGGACAATTGTCAAAATGAATTGAAGGAGTTTCAGAATGGGTTGTGCAGAGAGCCAGAGGAAGGGGAGAAAAAAAGCAGTGAAAAGATTTTGTAAAAAACCCTTCAAATGCCAAAACATATTTTCTAATCCTGAGAAAAGGGCATGGCTACTTTTGGATCTTGCCCCAAACCTTCCTGGATAATTGCAATTGACAAGATGTAGCCCTATATATGACCTCTTGCGTTAAAACTCCATTTCCATCTGATTGGTCTCAGTTTTCTTTTTAAAATGCATTTTGGTTGTCCTCAGACGTACCATTCGTTAAAATTGGGAGGAAGTCCAGGGTTGTGGCTGGTGCTAGTTTGAATTGCAGAAGGGGTTTTAGTGGTATCTTTACTGTTTGCAGAAGCTATAGCGGGTGGAGTGGAAGATTCATAGCCTGAACTGGCAGCAGGGGAGGAATCTGACCCTTGAGATTCATGAACCTAAAATTAACATGTATATATTATAATGAACATAATTCCAACTGGCAATGTGCAAGCAAAAACAAGAGCAGAATTTGAGCACTGTAAGAGCAAGACCGCCCAGTGACCCAATTAAAAGTGAAACGCTGCTTTTTAAAAAATTTCCATATTACCCATTACCGATGTCTAGAAAACCCAGATATTTGCCAAAAACGAGGTTCTGCCCTAAGACTGGCATTAGGGGAAAGGGATAAAGCACTGTTTTAGTGGCGCCACTTCAAAAATGCTTCCTCCATGGATGGAGCGGGTAAACAGTTACTCAGCGGGGCCCTACAAATCAGTAACTCCGGGCCCAGGTTTTGGCTTGGGAAAGCAGGTATATAGACAAGTGGCACAGGGGTCCTAGGCAATGCCAAGTCTCAGAAAAACGTGTGGGAACCAGACCGTGCTCCTCGGCCCTATTGTTTTATGGGAAGCCGAAGAACAAATGAACGATTCTCTCACGGGTTCCACGCGGCCACCCTCGGTTCCCACCGCGGGCTGAGCCGGGAACAGGCAGCTTCTGCAGCCTGCAGCCTGCACCCTGGTGAGCTGGGCTAAAGCTTCCCCGTAAACTGACTGCTGCTCCCTCACCTCTCCACTCCTCCCAACTCTGCTCTCTCCCGCCCCCGCATCCCCAAAATGGGTTCAAGGTGTCACCGCGGGAGCAAATCGGATTTAACGTGGAGGACTGAGGGTTGGCAGCAAGGGCCTTTCTGTTCCGCGGCCCAGTGTCGGGCCGAGTGTTTACAAACCGCCGACCGCTAATAAAGAGGTAATTACCTTCATGTGTTTGCGCAGGGAGCTCGGGTGCGTGTAGGACTTGTCGCACACTTTGCAGATATAGGGCTTATCCGAGGTGTGCACATGCATGTGCTTCTTACGGTCGCTGCTGTTGGCAAAGCGTCTGTCACAGCCTTCAAATTCACATTTGAAAGGTTTCTCACCTGCAAAATGCAAAAATGCAAAAAGAGAGAAAGGCGATCAGCTCCAGGAGCTTCCCAGAGCCGAGCAGCGGGAGACTGAGCACTCCCCGCTGTCTTCCCTGGGAGGGAGCCCCGACTGGGTGCGGCGTCTCTTTTCCCTGGAGGAAAATGGAGAGAGTGGGTTGAGCCCACGGGTTTGGGGAGTGGTGGTCTGGCGTGGGGTTGGGGCAGGGCCGGCCCAGAGTCTGATTGTCCCTTTGTTCGCACAGGATCAGAAAGCTCCGGGCGCCTCCGAAGTTGCCCCTAAGTTGTGGTTCCACCCCAGCCCGCCCAGGGTTCCCAACGCGCGGATACGTTTCACCGCCACCTCGGCGACCTACCCGAGCTCGCCGGGACAATGGGCCGGGGACAGGACAATCTCGTCCAGCCCCTTCTTTGTACCCTTTAATTTGCCTCTTTCAAATGTAGCGGCTTTGGTAAGCACGGTTTTTAAAAGATTGGGCAGTCATATTTCATGTTCGAAAAAGGAAAACGACCCACATCCAGGGACTACAGAGTTTCACGAGACGTTCAGAACAAGCCACGAAAATGTGGTGCCTTTTCTACTTTTGCTTTCCTCCCAGAGGACTGAGCTGAACCTGGAACTCCAAATAAAAATAGTTTGACAAAAGTATCAGTCATTTAATGAGATGTGCCAATCAAGTGTAAAAAAGAGCGGAAGTAACTTAAAGTTAGTTTCCATTAGCATTTCTATGGTTCCCTTCCTCGCCTGTGTGCTGAGAGCTAAGTCGCTTGTAAGCAATACACTCTCCACACATTCGGAGTCTCTTCACAGCAACCCAGAAAAGAACACAAAAAGAGGCGGCGCCAGTTTGTTCCTGGGCGCGAGAAGATCCCAATTAGTTCCTAAGACTGCGGGGCGGCCGGCCCTGGAAGTTAGAACAGGGAAAAAGTGCCGCCGGTCGGGGAGGGCGTGGGGTGCAGGGGTACTGAGAGCAAAGTGAGCCCGAACGGCCTCAGCGGGGCGCCGCCCCTTTCTCTGGCCTCTACCCCTCTCCCTCGCAGGGTGCCCTGCTGCACCCTGTGTCCCTGCGTCTCCCCCTTACCTGTGTGGGTCCTCTTGTGGATCTTGAGGTTCTCAGAGCGGGCAAAAATCTTCCCACAGCCCGGGAAGGGGCACGGGAAAGGCTTTTCGCCCGTGTGTACTCGGATGTGGTTGACCAGTTTGTACTTCGCCTTGAAGGACTTGCCCTCGCGGGGGCACTCCTCCCAATAGCAGACGTGGTTGTTCTGCTCCGGGCCCCCCACATGCTCCATGGTGACGTGCGTCACCAGCTCGTGCATGGTGCTGAAGGTCCGGTCGCAGCTCTTCTTGGGCCGGCTCAGCTGAGCCTCGTCGATCCACTTGCACGACAGCTCCTGCTTGATGGGCTGCCGCATATAACGGAAGAAGGCCCCCGGCCCGTGGTGGGCCGCCACGTTCACGCCCATGTTCATGTTCATGGGGCTGTAGTTCGGGAACTGCGCGCTCGCTGTGTAGGGGTCCGTACGCGGGCTGGCCACGGGGCGGTACGGGTCAGCACGGCCGAACAGCTCCCCGCGCAGCCCCAGGTGGACCTGGTTATTGTCCACGTGCCCGGTGGGCGACGGGTGCCCAGCGCCCTGCTCATGCAGCCCGGGGAAGAGCAAGTAGCCGGGGGGCTCGGGAATCCCAGCGGGGGCGTGTAGGCTGCTCGCCGAGCCGGCAAAGAGCCCGTGCTGCCCGCCCCCCGATGCTGCCTCGCTGAGCCCGGAGCCCCTCTGGCGGAACAGAAAGTCGCGCGTGGAGTTGAAGGCGGCCGAGGCAGCGCCGCCGTAGCTGGGCACCTGGCTGGCGTGG